AACCCTCTCCGGTGTCTATATAAACCAAAGGGTTTTAGTCCGTAGGACAGCAATCACAACATACAATCATACCATAGGCTAGCTTCTAGGGTTTAGCCTCTCTGATCTCGTGGTAGATTTACTCTTGTAATACCCATATCTTCAATATTAATCAAGCAGGACGTAGGGTTTTACCTCCATCAAGAGGGCCCGAACCTGGGTAAAACTTCGTGTCCCGTGCCTCCTGTTACCATCCGGCCTAGACGCACAGTTCGGGACCCCCTACTCGAGATCCGCCGGTTTTGACACCGACACCCGTTCATCAAACGACAACACATGTCTATGGTTAGGAAACTTAACCATCTTTGATTAACGAGCTAGTCTAGTAGAGGCTTACTTGGGACATGATGTTTTGCCTATGTATCCACAAATGTATAAGGTTTCCGGTTAATACAATTCTAGCATGAATAATAAACATTTATCATGATATAAGGAAATATAAAATAACAACTTTATTATTGCCTCTAGGGCATATTTCCTTTAGCTTAGGGTTTTGCATATCGTTAACACATATGACATTAATAAAACTTATAATAATATCATTCCTATCATGCTTTTCGTTCAAGGAGCTATCGTGAATCACTTCATAAATTTCTTCTTTCAACACTTCATCACAATTTTCAGATTCACGAATTTCAAGCAAAACCTCATAAAGATAATCTAGTGCACTCAACTCACTAGCAATTGGTTCATCATAATTGGATATTTTAAAAAGATTAGCAAGTGGATGAGGATCCATATCAATAGATTTTAGCAAGCAAAGATGCAAGCAAATAGAAGGCACATGGTAACACGAGCAAACAGAAGGACGAACGGAAGAAGGGCGAAGAAAAGGGAAAATCTTTTCGAAAATCATCTTAGAAGTGGGGGAGAGGAAAACGAGAGGCGAATGACGAATAATGTAATGCCGGAGATGAGAGTTTATGATGGGTACTTCATATGTCTTGACTTGGCGTAGATCTCCCCGGCAACAGCGCCAGAAATTGGCAAGTTGACGGGAGACAAATCTTGACTTGACTTGGCATAAATTTCCCCGGCAACGGCGCCAGAAATCCTTCTTGCTACCTCTTGAGCTTGCTTTGGTTTTTCCCTTGAAGAGGAAAGGGTGATGCAGCAAAGTAGAGTAAATATTTCCCTCAGCTTTTGAGAACCAAGGTATCAATCCAGTAGGAGACAACGCAACAAGCCACCGAATACCTGCACAAACAAACACCAACTTGCACCCAACGCGACAAAGGGGTTGTCAATCCCTTCACAGTTATTCGCAAAGTGAGATCTGATATAGATGGATAATCGGTAAAGTAATATTTTTTGGTATTTTTGGTTTATGGAACGGAAAGTAAAAGATTGCAAAGAAAGTAAATAGGAGACTAAAATTGTAGACTGGGAACTTATATGATGGAAAATAGACCCAGGGGCCATAGGTTTCACTAGAGGCCTCTCTCAAGATAGAAAATATTACGATGGGTGAATAAATTACTGCCGAGCAATTGATAGAAAAGCGCAAAGTTATGACGATATCTAAGGCAATGATCATGAATATAGGCATCACGTCCGTATCAAGTAGACCGAAACGATTATGCATCTACTACTATTACTCCACACATCGACCGACTCCTGCCTGCATCTAGAGTATTAAGTTCATAAGAACAGAGTAACGCATTATGTAAGATGACATGATGTAGCGGGATTAACTCAAGCAATATGATGAAAACCCCATCTTGTTATCCTTGATGGCAACAATACAATACGTGTCGGTTCCCTTTCTATCACTAGGATCGAGTACTGCAAGATTGAACCCAAAGCTAAGCACTTCTCCCATTGCAAGAAAAACCAATCTAGTTGGCCAAACCAAACCAATAGTTCGAAGAGACTTGCAAAGATACCAAATCATGCATATAAGAATCCAGAGGAGATTCAAATAATATTCATATATAAGCTAATCATAAATCCACAATTCATCGGCAAACACACCGCAAAAAAGTATTACAATGAATAGATCTCCAAGAACACCGAGGAGAACTTTGTATTGAGAATCAAATAGAGAGAAGAAGCGATCTAGCTACTAGCTATGGACCCGTAGGTCTGTGGTAAACTACTCACACTTCATCGGAGAGGTAATGGTGTTGATGTAGAAGCCCCCTGTGATCGAATCCCCCTCCAGCAGGACGCCGAAAAAGGCCCCTAGATGGAATCTCACGGGTACAGAAGGTTGCGGCGGTGGAAAAATTGTTTCGTGGCTCCATCGGAAGGCTTTGGGGTATTTGAGAATATATAGGCGGAAGAAATAGGTCGGTGGAGTCACGAGGGGCCCACAAGGGTGGGGGCGCACCCTCCAACCGCGTGGCCGCCTCGTGGCTTCTCTGACTTGCACTCCAAGTCCTCTAGATGTCTTCTGGTCCAAAAAAATCATTGCAAAAATTTCATTTCATTTGGACTCCATTTGGTATTCCTTTTCGGCGAAACTCTAAAACAAGGGAAAAAACAGAAACTGGCATTGGGCCCTAGGTTAACAGGTTAGTCCCAAAAATCATATAAAATAGCATATTAATACATATAAAACATCCAAAATAGATAAATTTTTTTGCGGGACCAAGCATGGAACAATAAAAAATTATACATACGTTGAAGACGTATCAGTTCTCTCCACCACTCTAAGTGGTGTGTTGAGAAGAGAAAGGGAAGACCACGCGCGCGCGCTCACTCGCCTCGCCTGGCCGGGCCGTGGCGTGGCGTACGTGCGACATGCGCGTGAATGGTCCACCGAAATCCGGTCCATTGCCTTGCATGAGCGCAACTTCCTTTTGTCGTTTTTTTATGTCTTGGTAGACAAGTTAATGATTTCTTGTCCGGTAAGTATACGACTTAGAAATCAAATTGGTTTGGGATTATGATCGCGACACAATACCGCCTTGGGTCCTAATATATATACTGCTACTGCCACGGCCATAGACATACCGAAAGTATCTAGGGTTTTGCCTCGTCTCACAACTTGCGCTGCCACCGTAGTCTACTCTATTCCGAACGCCGACATGCATCGGTGTGCGGGAAGCGGGTCTTCGGAACCGTTCATCTTTGCGATCTTGCACCGGGAGAGGACGAATTAGGTTTTTGGAAAGCGCTCTGCGCGACTACTCAACTTCGTCATCACGGGTCGTCTTCCATCTAAGTCAGGCGGTGCTACTCATCGTCGTCAACAACAGATCGCCGCCAACATCGCCAGCAACACCGTCGCTCCTGCTGCAACTACCGAACAATACGTCAATCGTAATTTGTTCATGTCCCTCTCCGAAGTTGCTATTTTCTGGGCGATGCTGTTGTACGTGATTTGATGCTCTTCTAGTTTGCTAGATTGTTGCATGCTAGTTTCTGTCTTAGTCATGAATTATTTACTGGAATTGATCATGAACTTGCCTAATATTCCAACAGCCGGATAGCGGTCGATAAGTGGAGTAATAATAGTAGATGCAGATGGATTTCAGTCTATTTGTCTCGGACGTAAAGGCTATATATTGATCATGCCATGAAGAACCATCATAACTGTGCGCTATTCTATCAATTGCTCAATAGTAATTTATTTACCTACCGTACTATGCTTACGAGAGAGATGTCGGGTCAATTCACTTCATACTTACTAAAACCCTAAAAACATTTCCTCGTTGTTTTTATTTTATTTTTATTTTATACATTTATCACTATAAGATTTAATCCTTGTAATTGGCGAGAACGAAGGAATTGACGAACCCTTTGTTGTCGTTGGGTGCAAAGGTTGGTTTGTGTGTGTGTGCACGTATCGTTTATTTTATATGGGTGACGTCTTCTATTGGTTCGATAAACATTGGTTCTTTACTCATGAAAATACTTTTAGCTACTACACTGCTTTGTCACTCTTCAGGAAATCCCAATGTCTATCATAAATAGCAATGGCCAGCTAGTTTCAGAGGTCTTGATGTGTGATAGGGAATTTATTTTGCTGAAGATACGAAAGGAACAAGACAAATTGATAGATTTACTGGTAAATTACAGAGTATACTATTACGGTGTGGCTTAACCGTAGTCCTTGAGAAAATTGTGCGTCTTGATTGTAACTCTTTAAACTTCGAATAAACTCCATTTTTCCTGCAAAAAAAGACAACCTTTTGTACTCGAATTTAACTGAATTTAGCACTTCTGACCAATTCCTTAAACCTGAACAAAGAGGGAAAATAACTTAAAACCCTTAGCCCCCAATTCATCGTCATGGCCTCCGCCTCTGTTTCCCTCTCTTCCCTCGCTTCCTCCGCCGCCGCCGCCGCCGCGATCTCCTCCTCCCCCGGCTGTCCTCCTTCCAAACCCTTTCACGATCCAAAACCTCTTCACCTTTCCGTCAGACTATTCCCCCGTTTCGCCAAACCTCAGCCGCTCTCCTGCTCTGGGCCGCACGCCCCTCACGCCGCCACCGGCGACGGATCGGGTGCCGGGAACCGTGGGGACGACTCGGGAGGAAACGGAGGAAAAGATGGAGGTGGAAACGATGGCGACGGCGGCGACGACGACTACGAGGAGGCCGAGTTCGGGCCGCTGCTCGGCTTCAGCGAGGTGGCGCGCCTCGCGGCCGCCCGCGGCGTCAAGCTCCCGGCCGACATGATTGAAGCGGCCAGGGACGCCGGCATCCGGGAAGTGATTTTGCTCCGATACTTCGATTTGCAGGTATACCGAATTGCACACTTCTATTCCTGAGGCATAAATCCGGCGGTTTCCTCACCTCTTTCCATCTCCGCAGGCCGCACCGTGGCCACTCGCCGCGATGATCCGGGCCTTCTCAGTGCTCCGCAACAGAATGCTCGCCGATCCGTCGTTTCTCTTCAAAGTTGGCATCGAGGTATGTGCGATTCATCGTTGACTATTTTTGTATCAGAACTCAGAACTGATGTTTTTATATTTCAGACCTATGCTATTTTGAAGTTGGGGTTTCGGACTGAATGCAGGTTGTGATCGACTCCTGCTGTGCAACACTTGCGGAGGTGCAGAAGAGGGGGGAGGATTTTTGGGCAGAGTTTGAGTTATATGCTGCTGACATTTTGATCGGGATTGTTGTTGATATCGCCCTAGTTGGGATGTTGGCTCCATATGTTAGATTGGGAAAGGCGTCTTCGTCAACGGGGCTGTTGGGGAGGTTCAACCGAATGGCTGGAGCTTTGCCAAGCAGGTGAAATCATATTTGACTAAGTTCCCACCACAGTGGATAGATAATATGAGAAGTAAAATAAGGTGCCCAGTTTGTAGTTTCATTTGTCATGACCATCAGATTCTATCCAAGAAATGGAACGAGATAGTGTGGATGGATTCTGTGTATTCTTCTCAATACAATTTTTTTCCCAGTCCGACATGCTTATTTTATGGCCTCTTACCTGCAGTGTTTTTGAAGCTGAAAGGCCAGGCTGCAGATTTACAGTCCAACAAAGAATTGGGACGTACTTCTATAAGGTAATGAATGAATCTTACATCAAAAGTATTCACTCTGAATGTAGCATCATTATCCAATATTCTGTTTTGAATTGCTGGAGCACCATTACGTTGTTTGAATCGGGTTGTTTTTATCCTAGGGTGTTTTGTATGGCTCAGTTGGATTTGTCTGTGGTATTATCGGTCAGGGAATTTGCAATATGATAATGAATGCCAAGAGGTAATGCATGTGCCTTTTGTGCTTTTGATACATAATAATTTTTTCTCCCATTATACTATCCTTTTGTAAGGTCTTTCTGCAGGATTTCTTTGTTGTTTGTTCACTACCTCAGTATTGCCGATGAATATTATTCTTAAATTATGTTTCTCTTTTCTTTTTTTCTTTTTTTTTGAGGGGGATGTTTCTCTTTTCTTGACTTGTGTGATTTTGCTTGGTTCTGTTCATTTTTCAGGAGTGTCAAAAAAACAGATGAAGATATTCCTGTTCCACCACTTATTAAAAGTGCTGCTCTTTGGGGTATGTATATTGTGTATTTTTTTTCATTTTACTACTTATTTTACTTTGACCACATGTTCAGTAATTGCAAATGTGGATTTGATGTCCACTAAAGCGATATCTAACAGCTGAGACAGATAGACATATGATATGGGAGGCGGATTTATAGCACCCGGGTCCTCCACACCCCTATACGAACATTAAATTCAAAAAAATACCGAGAAATTTGAAAAAAAATCTGAGTTTTTGGGATATCAAACCTGAGTTCCCGATCCTGGAAACAGCCTCTTACAGAATTGTAGGAAAAGGCTGCATACAATAGACCCAAAGTTGTCGGACCCTTCTCGGGACCCTGCGCAAGCGGGAGCTACATGCACCAGGTTGCCTTTTCTTTTTTCTTTTTAAACCTGGGTTCCCGATCTACTCCCGTGTGAAATTTCGTGAAAAAATACTAGGAAACATATTTGTGGCAAAAAAGACTAAAAATTCCTATGTATAGAAAAAAACTGTTTGGATGGATTTTTTTTCGGCAAGTATTTCCTTCGCCACGGATATGTTTCCTGGTACTTCTTCACTAAATTTCACACGGGAGTAGATTGAGAACCCAGGTTTGATATCCCCAAATTTCAGATTTTTTTTTGATTTTTTTGGTATTTTTTACCTTTAATATTCGTATAGGGGTGTGGAGCACCCAGGAGCTCCTGTGTACTTTCCATATGATATGAGCATACTTTAATGTTTAATGTCAGTTTCGCTTAGTTTCACTAAAATTTCTTGAACATTTCTCTAACTATGTTAATTCAGACATTCTCCGACAGTTGATATATAAATTGATTTCTTTACTTGCTACTCCTGATTCATGTCATTTCTTATTATTTATGTCATTTTTTTCTGCAGTGGGCTTCCTGATTTATACCCCATACTAGTAGTAGCACATAACATTTCTATGTTCCATTCCTGAACTGACAATCAATGTTAACATGTAGGTGTATTCCTTGCTGTATCATCTAATACACGCTATCAGATCATCAATGGTCTGGAGCGAGTAGTTGAGGCATCACCAGTTGCAAAGGGTGCCCCTCTTGTTGCATTGGCTTTCACCGTTGGTGTTCGCTTTGCCAATAACATCTATGGTGGTATGCAGTTTATCGACTGGGCTCGATGGAGTGGTGTCCAGTAATGGTGAGTGATCCTGTTTTAGTTGTTCATCTTGTCATCTTCTCACCAATAGTATGTCATGGAAAATCAGTTTTGTACACCTATTCGTTGAACATCAAATGCTTCCAGGTGAGTTATCTTGCATCATTTGGAAGGATGTCTAATCATTCCATTTTTGTAAATAATTCTTGCGGACCCTAAGAAAACATCAAATTTTGCGGTATTCTTCAGGGAGGAATTCAAGCAAGAGATCCATACAAGCTTCGTTGTCAGTTTTTCCACCTTTGCTGAGAGGCAAGCTGCAGCCCTGTGGTGAAATTCGATCACTCTGGAGAAAAGAAAAGCGAAGAAGCAGATGATATTGCAAGCTTGCAAGGTCGTCAGACATGAGCTATGAACAGTATCTTTTCAATTATTTCATTTCTGTACCAAGTCAAACACTAGTGTAACGTGTCTAGCGCGTCGTTTAGTTTAATCACATGAGTAATGTGATGTGACTTGACTACCCAAAATAATGGTGTCGGAAGTAGGAAGGGTGCCTATTATATTGGGAAAAAACTGGAGAATTTTTTTTGCGGGCATCAACTTAAACCTCGCTGGCTCACTGGATAATGAAGGAAGTACATCTGCCGAAAATGGCGTGACTGATTCATCGTATGATAGTAAGGGCGTCTCCAACGGAAACCCGCAAAAAACCTCCCGCATTCGTCCGTGGATAGAGGCTAGTATGCGGACACGTTTGCGAGAGACAGTCATCTAACCATACCCGTATACATTCGGCCTTTCGAATTTTTTCTCCTAGTCCGCACAATCAAGTAGCCGCATGTAAAGGGCACAGAAGTTCAAATAGCCACATGCAGCACAAGTCAAAATTAAAAAAAAATATTTTACATCCCAATATTGTTGTCACTTTTCATCGTTCATTGATGCTCAATTAGATCCTCTTTGAGCTGCTTGTGAGTTTGTTTATGCCGAATTTGTTGATGCATTTAAATAAACTCATCAAATGTGGCCGGATTCTGATTTGAAAGTTGGATAAGATCACCCATGTTCTTAAATTCAAGAGCTGCGGTGGCATCGTCACCCTCATCCTCGACGATCAAGTTGTGCATGATCACACAACATGTCATCATCTCTCACAAGGTCTCCGGATCCCATTGTTTTGTAGGTCCACGACCAACTGCAAAATGGGCCTGAAGAACTCCAAATACCCTCTCGACATCCTTTATAGTTGCTTCTTGTCTTTGGGCAAAGCGAGCCTTTTTCTGACCAACTGGGTTTGAGATGGTGCTGACAAAGGTAGCCTAATGGAGGAGCTTTTCCTTCAGTCAGCCTCGCAAACAACGACGATTATTGCAGCACATTGATTCATTGTGAGACCCAGGCATGCCAAAATAAGCGTGCCAAATCCAAAGATTTTGTGATGCAACTGCTTCAAGAATGATGGTGGGCTTCTTGACTTGACCCTGGTATTGGCCTTGTAAAGCCTTCGGGCAGTTCTTCCATTTTCAATGCATGCAGTTAAGAGATCCAAACAAACCTGGCCACCCTTTTGCTTCTAAGAATGCCAGGAGCCACTCGGTGTCTGCCACAGTTAGTTCTCTCAGGTACTGAGGTCCGAACACCTCGACCACGGTAGTTGCAAACCTGGCCATGGCATCTCCGCATGTGCTCTCACACATCCATAGGTACTCGTCCCACGAATCAGCGGGCGTGCCATATGCAAGCATCCGGAGTGCGGGCCTGCACTTCTGGTAACCAGAGAAGCCAATCGTTCCCACGGCGTCCTTCAGAATGAAGTAATCATCATAGGACCAGACGCCATGGTACAAACGATTGAAGATGGTCTTGCGCATTCAAAAAAGGCCGGCAAAAATGGTCACCGAAGAGTGCATCGAGGGCAAAGTAGTCGGCCATCAGTGTCAAATGCCCGCACGCCCTGTTGCGGTTGAGCATGCGATGACCCTTGACCGAGCCTTTGAAATTGAGAATATGCTCCTTCACACGCTCCACGTCTTCAAGGACTGTCTACATCATCGCCGTCTGATCGGAGTACTCCTCGTCCGACTATCATCGGAGGACACAACATACTGCTCGTATATATACTTCAAATCAGAATTCATTGCTACAAACAATGTAAAGTTGTGTAAACTCGTATATTGCTTGATTGGATACAGCCGGATTACAATGTTTATATAGTGCATAGGATAACCGACCTAGGCTAAACCAACTTGGAGTACAAGTCTAATACGAGTCCTACTCGTATACTCTAACATCCCCCCGCAGTGTCAACGGGAGGCTCGATGACGTTGAGACTGGATCGAATATCTGTAAATGGCGCGGTTGCAAGCCCCTTGGTGAAGATATCGGCGAACTGTGCCGTGGTAGGAACATGAAGAACACGGATTTGTCCCAAAGCAACTTTCTCACGAACAAAGTGAATGTCGATCTCAATATGCTTGGTGCGTCGATGCTGCACTGGATTGCCTGACATATAGACTGCAGAAATATTATCACAGTAAACCACCGTGGCCTGATGAAGAGGTTGATGAAGTTCCTCAAGTAATTGGCGCAACCAAACTGTCTCCGCAACTGCATGTGCAACAGCCCTGTACTCTGCCTCAACCGACGAACGAGAGACCGTAAGCTGGCGCTTCGAGGACCAAGAAATAAGATTGTTACCAAGATAAACACAGTATCCTGAAGTGGATCGACGAGTGTCTGGACAACCAGCCCAGTCAACATACGAATAAGCTGTCAATGATGCAGGTGAAGATGAATTTATGTGGAGACCGTGATCGAGAGTTCCTTTGACATACGAAGGATTTGTTTGACATGATTATAATGTGGGACACGAGGATCATGCATAAAAAGACAGGCTTGTTGTACAACATAGGATAGTTCAGGACGAGTAAGTGTGAGATACTGAAGAGCACCAGTTAAACTACGATAAAGTGTGGGATCAGAAAAGTTTCACCATCGGAGGAGAGTTTAGAATTGGTATCTACAGGTGTGCGAGAGGGTTGACAATCTAACATACCGGCCTTGTTTAAAAGTTCAATAGAATACTAACGTTGAGAAAGAAAAAGACCCTTATGATCACGTGTGACAGCAATACCCAAAAAATGATGGAGAGAACCTAAATCAGTCATGGAAAATTCGTGCTGGAGAAGTGAGATAATGTGTTGAAGAAAGTTAGTAGAAGAGGCTGTAAGAACAATATCATCTACATAAAGAAGAAGATATGCAACGTGGCTTTTAGAATGATAAACAAAAAGAGAATAGTCTGAACGAGAAGGAGAAAAACCTATAGTTTGAAGGAAGGTAGAGAAGCGTTGAAACCATGCACGGGGAGCTTGTTTAAGGCCACAGAGAGATTTTTGAAGAAGACAAACATGATTGGGAGATGTAGAATCCTCAAAACCTAAGGGTTGTTGACAATATACAGTTTCATGAAGAGAGCCGTGAAGAAAAACATTTTTAACGTCTAATTGATGGATTGGCCATGTTGATGAGACCGCTATGCTAAGAATAGTTCGAATAGTGCTAGGTTTTACGACAGGAGAAAACGTCTCATCATAACCTATACCGTGTTGTTGAGAGAAGCCACGACAAACCCAACGAGCTTTATACCTAGAAAGACTACCGTCAGAGTTAAATTTTTGACGAAAGACCCATTTACCAGAGACAATATTTGCATTAGGAGGACGGGGAACCAGATGCCAGGTGTTGTTGGAGAGAAGAGCATTGTATTCATCACGCATGGCAGCGGCCCAGTTAGCATCGAGAAGAGCAGATTTGTAAGTTTTAGGAATAGGAGAGAGATTAGTGGTTACATGCAAATTAAGCTTCTTAATTGGTTGAGAAAAACCTGATTTGGCACGGGTGCGCATAGTGTGGTCATTGATAGGAGCAGGAACAGGGACGACATTGGGTGGTAGAATTGGTGGTGGCGGAGAGGGAGAGTTGTCCGGCGCAGTGGAGGGTGCGGACATGGGCGAGTCTGCCGCGGCAGAGAAATCTGTCGTGACAGAAAGTGGCGTGGCGATGGCGGGAGATGGGGGTGATGGGGGCGCTGCCGCGGCAGAGTAAAACGGTAAATCCGCTGCTGCGGGAGAGGTCGGCGTGGCGACAGGAGAAGGTGGAGGCGCTTCCGCGGCAGAGGAAAGAGGCAGATTGGCTGCCGCGGCGGGATTATCAGGTATGAGATGAGTAAAAATAGGGGATTTAGAGGGAGAATGAGATGGTTTGGATGCAGATTTGGGTTTGTTGTCTATTGAGGTAGTAGAGAAAGGAAAAACCGTTTCATCAAAAGTTACATGACGAGATATATGTACGCGACCAGAAACAAGATCAAGACACCTATAGCCTTTGTGTTCATCAGAGTATCCTAAGAAAACACACGGAAGAGATCGTGGGGACAGCTTATTAGTTGTTGTGGCGGAGATGTTGGGAAAGCAAAGACAACCGAAGACTCGTAGCTCATTATAGTTAGGGTGAGAAAGAAAAAGAGAGTAAAAGGGAGTTGTTTTAGGATTTACACTGGATGGGCGAATATTCAAAAGATAAGTGGCAGTACGGAGTGCTTCAGCCCAGAAATTGGGTGGCATTGATGCCTGGATAAGAAGTGTTCTAATAATATCATTGATTGTGCGAAGAGAGCGTTCAGCTTTGCCATTTTGTGGTGAGGTGTATGGACATGAGAACCGAAGGAGAATGCCGTGTTTGAGGAAAAGGTTTCGATTTGCAATATTATTAAATTCTTTACCATTATCACATTGTATAAAACGAATAGGAAGAAGGAAATGAGTAGCTACATAACGTTGAAAGTTAGTAAAAACAGTATGCGCGTCAGATTTATTTCTTAGAGGAAAAGTCCATATAAAATGTGTGTAATCATCTAGAATAACAAGATAATATTTAAAACCAGAAATGCTTAAAATTGGAGAGGTCCACAGATCACAATGAAGAAGCTCAAAGGGAAATGTACTAGAAAAGCTAGAAGAACTAAAAGGTAACCTA